ACCGGTCTCTTTTTCAAAACCGAGTGTCGCGTACGAGTCACAGAAAATTAAAATGTCTCCATGTTCGAACGGTGAAATTAGCGACACTTAACTCTGTCGTATGAAAACGAAAGCTTTCGATTAGTAGCTAAACTTCAAGTTTCCTTCTGTGAAAGTATTATCGAGGGAGTAGCGGTTTTAACAAGTTTCCATTCTCCCAGGCGAAACTACTCTTTGCTGCTCGAACGAGTATACCGAGTTGGCGCATCATTGTGAAAGGTGTCACTCGCGTGGGATCCTAATCTGTCGCGTTACACAGCCAGGAGTCCCATTGTGGCGGTTCGTTCGTGCCCATCTTCCAGAGACTCTCCTTAGCAGGGCCGGTAGCTAAAATGGCCATTATGAGAAAGATCGTGCCATCTCCTCTCCCTTTCCCTTTTCCGCCAAACTGTCCCACTTTCTTGTTCCGGCATTATGGGGTATTACTGGTCTACGGCCTCTACCTGAGTCGATCAATGATACTCCGAGGGCCGCGTGTAACCTGGGAAATCATTGAAGTTGCCGAAACACGGGAAATGGGGTAGGATTCTTCGCCCTGGAAACGATTATTTCAGCACCTCGCATCGTTAAACATTTCTTTCAACACTTCGGCGTCTTTTTGAATAATAATTTTTGAGAAAATACAAGTTCGAAGATACGACGAATGAAACGAGAAGTGTCAAGGCGTGAATAAATTTCCGAGGGATGATCCGATGTTTTCAGAGTTTACTCGAGCCTCGGATTATCTGGGGTACACGGACGAGGAAAGCTTTCCGCCGAGAACAATTCTCAGCGGTTCAAGCCTCGGTAACCGTGATTACTTACCTGCAAGGTAGACGCTTATCCACCTGCGAGATTCATTGATTTTTATGCGTGCACCTAGTTGCACTCTCTACCGGCAGGTGGTGGAGTAAAACCTAAAGGCTCTTAGATAGCCGTGATAAGGGACGTTGGAGTACCCTTTTTACAAGGGAAACTTCGTATTAAAACAAGCCTTGGAGTTTTTTTAATAGCCAAATCGAGCACCGTTCTCTAACAATACGCAGATACGATAGATACTTCAAACTTATTCTATCCAGGTCGTTAAAAAAAATTCGTAAAACGTTGAAATCCTGGTAACCGAAACGTTAAATATTCCCATGGTGGGAAGAAAAGAAGAGAGAGAGAATTTTGGAAAATTATCACGTCTGCCATATGTCGTCGATCGTAGGATCCTTGTGGAAGGATCGTGGACAAACGAGGTCCCCGGTAGAAGTGCGAAATGTGTTTACAGCGTGAGAGGACGAGGGTTGGCGAAGGCATCGAAAGGCTGGCCCCGTCCAGGGGCGTATCAGGGCGAGACGCTTGGCCGACCAAGCGTCTCGTGGTGTTACGTAGCCGCGGCAAGACAATTGAAAAAATCACTTGTCTCGCCGTGAAAGTAGGGAGAGAGAGAGCACACCCTTCGGCACGGTGGATGCTGCGAGGAAGGTTGATGAGAGGGCGATATATCCGTGGGCGACGGTCCGTTAAACGCAATGTCCCGGATCGAAAACACTGCGGTTCGCCGGCGGAAGTTCGTACGGACTGTTTTCCGCACGTGCATCCCCGATGGAAATTTATCGCTCCTTCAACGACAGCTCAACAGTCGCGTCAGGTGCAAAATAGACGATTGTGAAAAAAAAAAAACGTTATTTTTTGTAATTTCAGGTTCGTACCGCAGGAAGTAGAGTGAGAGGGTGGTTAGACGCATCCCATGCAACGAGTAATTGGCTGAAGTACGTTCGAAGCACCAGCAGTCCTCATGCTGTTAACATGCGACACGTGCTGATTGGTGGACAGGTAATTTTAACGTTGAATCGATAGAACAGTTCTCGAGTAATTTGGGAATAAAACGTAAAGATTGTTCGTTTCGGGGAACTTCCGTTTCCGCGTGTGCTTCGATAATTGCTGGCACAAGTCTACGGTAAGCTGGCGCGTCGCGTCGCGTGTTTCGCCGTTTACAAATTCGGTTTCGAGCGCAACTGACACTCGATCGACAGTTGCAGTTAATAGGAAGGAATAATTACACGGTGGCAGGCGCAGTTCAGAGTTAATTTCACGTGTGCCAGGGAAACTAATGAAAAAAGGAAAGGAAAAAATGGAACGTTACACCTGACGTTGTTAACGAGACGACGACGGAATAGAAACCGCAGCAGAACTTGCGGTTTTAGATTTGTAACTATCGAATGGGGAGTGTTTCGGGGGATCGATTTAATTTGTTCTCCACCGTGTAACTCCGTCGCTAACTTGGTTTTCCGCGATACAGCGAGTTGTATTAATCGACGAGGGGGTATCGCAAATATTCCGACAATCCTTTAAAATCGAGCACGAGCAATGGAGGTCAGGGTGTCAATTTGGGGTTGATCCGAACCCCCGCGTGTGTCCTTTCGATTCTCTATCTATGTGAACCATGGCACATGGCATCCGCGGCGTCGTGGGCGCGCCCTAAGCTACGTGTATACAGGGTGTTTAGTTATTAAGTCACCCCACGGGGTCGTTTCGTTGACTTCCTATACGCCCCGTTCGAAATCGCTGTGGGAATGGGGGATGTGGCTCGCTCTATCAGAGCCCTACAGAATCGCCGTTGTAATGACTTTTCGGGGGCCTCCTGACGACACCATAAAGATCCTTTCATTGCCTCCGAACGTTATGGACTTACTGCTCGCTGTGGAAAATGTGTGTCGAGCGAAACGCGCCACTTTAATGGACAATTTCGAGACCTTCGAATTATCACCGTTTCCCGAATTCATCGAGAGCTACTTGCTACTTTTAACCATACTTTTCTATGGTAAAATTTCCATGGTAACGGTGTTCACAATTATCGAAGCATCATCTCGTTGTTTCTTTCTGAAGCGGGACACTCGAGCTGCTTCTCGAGATAATTCGCGATGAAAGGTGGCTCGAAAGGGGGGGTCGAAGGATTCAAGGGTGGTGATTGTCCGCAGATGGAGTACGAAACGGTGCGGGACATAGCGGCGGGTGAAGAGCTGCTCCTCGGCGTTCGAGAACCTCTTCAGCTTCAGGACATGCTCGGCGAAAATACGACCGAGGACAGAAGCGACCGGGAGACTGGTGAGTATCAAACACCGAGATCTTGTCACGCAGGTACAGAAGACTGACGCTTCTCCATTCGTTAACGTGCTTATCATCCCTTCTACAAAGGACAATTTCTCTATTAACCTACTCGCGTCGAACAAAGAGTAAACTCGTTGCAGGCTCGTTTCTCTTTAATCGAATCTAGTGTGTGCGTGTGTGTTCGCCAACTGACGTTGACGGCGGAAACGTGCAGATAATCGAACCCATTAAAATATTCGAAATTGTCAGGCTGGCTTTACGACTTTTCGGGCCGATACACATCGTAAGCCGTGTTGCACTTGCGCATGTATGCAAGGGAACAGAGGGGACAGGTGTCTTCGGAAAGCAGAGTTACCGCTCTTGATGCGAGGGAGGACAGAGGGTAAATCGTGAATCGTTGGCTGCACGAGCTGCTCGTCATGCACCCCTGATTTCTGGCGTGATTCACCTGGTCGGCCGTTGCGTATTAACCCCTTGTCCTGCCGGTAATAAGCGCTGATTATCGCGAGATAGACGCGTGCTGCCTTGCCTCGTGCCACTTTAAATTTTATTTCACAGTGACTTTCCGCCCATTCTCCTCCATTTCCTATCTATCCTTCCCGATAAAAACAGCTGAAACCTTCAATTTGAATTTTTCGATCCCCGTTTTTCTAAACTCAACAAGTAAATTTCATTTATTCCTTTTGACATTTTTTTTTCTACTTGGAGAAAATTCGTAGGTGCACTGCGAGCCGCGAGCACAATTCATATCCAAATTTCATTAGCCGAAGGAAAATATAGTGGAGGCAGTTGCGAAAGAGGGTGGCGCCTCGAGGTGCCTGACTGCTCGACAATTATCTGGTTGTAACTCCTGCGCGATGGTCACAGGATCCGGATGACTGGGAGGCGTAGAGATTAAGGGGGGTTCTAAGCGACACCCAGATGTCGTGGTAATTAAAACCGGGATTATCGTCCAAGTTGGAGGTGGCTACGGTTAATTCGCCGACGATTTTTCCTCGTAATTTCTCCCGGCTCGTAAACGTCTCCTCCGCCTAACAGGACAGAAGACAGCTAGGCGTTAGCTAACGAACGTTCGTTCTTAATTAAACCAAACCCCTCTCATCCCCTCCTCGAAGTAATTAAAATTACGAAGATTTCCAAACCGGCTTATAAATTATCTCTCGACGGAAGGGGAGGCGAATTTCACCGGGCCAGGCTGCGCCGGAAGTAGACTCGAACGGTTCCGGCAAATGTTTATTCATAATTACGGAAGTTGAATAAATTCTCGACACCCGATGTCGTTCCGTTAATTCTCCCTTTAGTCGCTCCTTCGATTCCTACTTTTCCCTCTAACCTTACGTTTATCTCTCTCCCTCCGCTTCTTCGTTCTTTCGAATGCTCCGGGAATGCAGTAAGAGGGAGGAAGAAAAAAAAGTGGCGGCTATAAAACACGCAAAAATGGTACGCGAGAATTGTCGTTATAATCGAAGGGAGGCCGTTTTCACGAGAAATCTCCGGCAATCTGGTGCGTGCAGCGAGAATAATGATGTCAAACAAACGGCGTTACACACCCCGTGTGGCAACCCTTGCGAGGGACATCTCTGCTCCCTTGAGCGGATCATTTTTTCTCTCTGCAGAGTGAGGGAGACCAAGGGAATCGGTGTAACGTGCCTAAACGGGGGCTCGCGTATGCACGACGCTGCGTTGGAAGGAAGAAAAAAAGGCGTCGAAAATCTGCGCTACGCTTTTGAAAAAAAGAAACAGTTTCGAAAACCAGGGTTGGAAATCAACACGCGTGTGTATCTAGAGAGAAGCTGTCGTGCAAATGGAGATTTTTTTATTTGTACTCTATTGTTTTAACCCGAGGCATAGCGATCGAACCGAACCGTATTCTCCCCTCTAGCAGTTTCTCGCTAATCTCCGGCGTCGAATGACAATGCAGGACGGTTTTGTGGACAGGCGAATTTTTTTTTCCGCGACGATTCGGTGAACCACGCCGCACTGGGGGGGCGGGTGCATCGAAGGGAGGCGTAGAATGCAACTGGCGACAACAGTTAACGTTGAGTTATGGTTTCGGATTTTTCGCGGCGTCTCTCTTTTTTCCCCCTATTCTCTCCACGAGATGAATCTCTTTCTTCCTCACGCTTTGGATGTCTCTATTTAGGGTCGCGGATAATTTACGACCCGGTATTGTCGATTAACACGCGCGTAACCTAGTCCCGGGGTCGAGAAGAGAAAAGGGTACCGTTTGACAAAAAAAAGGGGTATCCGCGCATAAAAGGGCACGCGACGTTGTTTTCCGAGGGGGTGGGACACGCGTACTATGCCTGAAAATTGTGCGACAACCCTATCTGATACGGCGAACTAACGACACCGTCGCTTTGACGTTTTACTCGCGTTACGATGCTTGGATAAATCGTGCTTTATGCACGAGCATTATTTACGTCACGTTTTCTTCTTTTTTCCTTTTCGTTCGAGAAAAATTGAAACAGCCGTTTCGTCGGCGGTTTTATCGTTACGCTAAGTATGCAGGTGATTAGCATTTTGTAGGAAGGGGGGTGCTAGTTCCGCTCGAAGGTGTTGCTCGACTCGCTCGAATTCTTCAGGGTGTCTACTCTCGATCCAGGCTCGTCACGAGGCCACGGAAACATTGATTTCCGTTACTTTTTCCCATGCAACCGCCAACTGACACGGCTGCAGGGGGTGTTACCGGTGGATCACCACCTGTTGACTTTCTGCGATGTTATATTCCAGAGGTTTTTTCGTGACACACTCGAGAGAGATGCATAATACCCCCTGGAGCTTCTTATCGCTTTCATCTTCCTTGGGAAAGTTCATTGTCTCGAGTAACAGACGTAGAAAATAACGTACTCCAACCGTCCTTTCGTCGAATAATTCGTAATCTCGTTGGTTCGTTTGAATTTGAACAAAAAATTGAAATTAAAAGAAAAAAAATTAGGGTCAATTTATTTTTTTGGTATTGCCGTCGGACTATTTATGGGACAGTTTTTTTTTCTTGGAAAGATCGTTTAGTGGATGACGAGGTCGACCGCATCCTTCGTTGTTTAAATTCACGGCGTGCCGCTTCAAATTAGTCGTGGATAGAGGAACGATTAACGTCGTACTATGGGGGGGTTGGCTGCGTGGCATGGGGCGTAGTTGGTGGCGTGGGGGCTGTGCCCGGTTCCCATGAAGGTCCGTTGGGGGCCATCGCTCGACCATATGGTTGGGACAAGTGTAGCGGCAGATTTAAATAACCGTTGGCGGACGGGTATCGTTTCGACTTTGCCTGGTTAATATTCCATCGAACCGTATCGATTGGTCAATTATTTTTGCCTTGCAACCTCGTTCACGCCCATTTGCCACATTGCACAATTATTTCAATTGCGATACTCTTCGTTCACAATTTTCTTTATCTTCAAACCTTGCTCGAATTCGTCTAGCCCTTTAAATTCCACCCTCTATCAGGATTGAAATTGGAGATTGTGCTCGAATTGTTAAGAAAAATTAGTTTTTTCAGTCTGTTCTTTGGTAAATGTGGAAACGTTAGGCTGACCGTTACACAGGTCGAGAATCTCCGTGGTTAAAAAGAACACGTTGTCTCGTTCACGGGCTTCTGATTTTACCTGCCGTTGCTCCTGTCATACGGGGGTGAAGAGAGAGGTCGCAGGGGGCAAACGTGGCTCACCTGCGATTGGCTGGCCTCTGGCCTCGCCGTTGCCAATGGGAAACGGTCCCCGACACCCCGTTCGCGTTTTCAGTCGCGGGACAACGTGCTACCAGCTAACTGGTGCATCATTGTGTCCATTGTCTTCGTTCGCTGCAGCATCGTGACCGATTAATAGTGGAAGAGAAGGTATTTTTCGGGGTGGTTGTGGTCTGTGTCCTCTCGCGTTCAACTTCTTCATCACCCTCTTTGTATAATACTGGGAAAGTCCTCCAGCGTGTTTAACTTTTAATTTAAAGTAAAGAAAAGAAAGTTCTTTTTCGTTGAAATATTCTTCGTGAAAAATACAACTTTGACAATTTTGTAAGAACAGTGTCTCGACGTATGCAACCGAATTGAATGCAAGTTCTGTGTGAAAAAGAATTCCAGGTTCAGTAGACATTGCGAGTTCTTCGGTGGACAGATAAAACGATAGTGCCGGTTTGATTTAATAATTCAGGAACAATCCCGGCGTCCACTTGTCACGCCACTTTCTCTCTCCCTCTCTTTGTGGTGGCCCTCGCGCGCTTCTCGATCACGTAATTCGCCCACACCAGGACGGGTCACGTATCATCGTTCTCGGGGGTGTAATTTATAGGGCCGCAGCCCGTCACAAACTGGAACGGAATTATGACTTCCAGCCTGTTTCTTGGTTCTCGCGCGGCGGCGGTCGTTTCATGTGTCTTTTCTTCTTTGTGCTTGCAGCCTCGCAACACAGCGGCACCGTAGACGAGGACAAGGAGGACGAAGAGGAGGGGGAGACCAGATGCCCCGTCTGCGACAAACCTTTCCAAGATATCGAATTGTGAGTACCAAAAGTAAATCTTTCTAATTTTTCCCCAACTCCTAACAAGAATTTTCTCTCGTCGAACGGTCCTTTTTTCTCTTTTCTTTCGCTTTCGTCCTCGACCTCGCACTCCAACCCTTATCGACTTTGTACAGTAGCCTTATTACAACATTTTATTAACCACGAAATCGCCATCGCATCGACGATATGAAGTGCCCACTCATGAAGGATTCATGACGCTATGTTGTACGTTGGTGAAATCAGATCGCAGCGAATCGTCCCCTCGAGCGACACGCTGACGAGGGATCGCGATCGAAATCGACGTACACATTTTTCGTGACCGTCGTCGCGTCGATACGGGCAATTTTCAACTCTTAATCAGCGTGCATCGATGTGAGATAGTACTCGGGGGGTACTCGAAGAAAACAATAGAACGGTCCGCTTCTGGTAATCGCGCGATCGTTTGATTCCTCGGATAAATTATTCATTAATCGACAAAATACAGGAACGAGCCGCGCGTTATCCACTCGAAATCAGAGCGTTACGTACGAAAAGAGAGGGGCCACGAGCACGCGAGACCATTTTTCGAGGGGGTTGCCTCGGAGTTACGACAGCTTTTTCACGGGGGTCGCTCGTTGTTGTTTGCGTACCGCCATTAAACGAAAAGTCAAACACTTTACCGATGCTCTGCCGCCATATGGAGGCTCGCGTTATTTGCCCTACGATTTCTTCCCATGATTTCAACGACTCGTGTAAAAGGGGTTAATTAACTTACAGGCTTGAATATTTTAATTGCAAATAAATACTCTCGACCTGGTGGAGACGATATTTTCTACTATTTTTTAAATAATACAATTTTCCAAGGGTTGTTCCAAAGGTTGAATAAATAGTTGAAATAAAATTTTTCCACGTTGCATAACTGGTAGTCGGTCGAAATTTCGGACATCCATTTTGGCCCGTTCCGGCATCTGTTTCCCGATACGGCGACAGGCCGCGACACCAGCCGCTTCCGTGAGCCTCTAGCCAAGCAGAGAGTCACCTGTTGTGGCACATAAAGTACGCGCGAGATCCGCATTCGGTTGCATCGAGCCACCCCCTTATGCATCATCGAAGGCGTCGCGTGCCCGCAGCTCATCTGGCACGGCGCACCGTCACCGTGAACCTACTATCTCACCACGAATAGCTTTCACGCGACACGTGTGTTCGAGGGTGTAAAATCAATGCCGCCACCACACCATGGCACATCCTGTGACCATAACCCGTGGCCAGCTCGCGACACCCCGCTCTCACAACCGCACTGTTCTTCGTGTGCACCTCACCGCCACCTCTCTCCATCCTCTCTCCTCTCCTTCTCACCCTTTCTTCGCCGTGTGTACGTGTATACGATGACCACCCTCTTCGTTCGGGGGCGTGTGACCGTTATTACGCGAGAGCTTGTCCGCTGCCGCGCTACCGGAGTCACTTAGTCATCATCCTCGACTGCACCGAGCGCAGTCTTCGTCGGTGCGCTGCCCCGGATCGATTATATCTGAGGTTCCTTGCTCGACCCGCTCGGAGATTTCGCCGCGATTACGCTCGAGCAGTTTCCAGGGGTTTTTGCTCGTAGCTGAAAGTGCCGTTCTCGAATATTGCCCAAGGAGGAGACTGTCGAATGGTTGTCCAGTGTAGAGTTTCAGTGATAGGCGTTCTTACGAATATGTTGCATGTTGTCGAATACAAGCGACGAGTTTCTCACCTATTCTTGGTGATTCTACTTTCAGATTGGACAGTCATCTGGTAACCTGTCACAGATATCCAGCCGAACAGCATCGTTGCGACAGCTGTCCTCGTGCGTACGCCTGGAGACCACTTCTCGTCCGTCATCGCGCGATAGTTCACGGTGACCTGAGGAATTATCCCTGCGAGAACTGTCCGAAGGTAAGAATCACTTCTAACACCGATCTGACGCACACAGACACATTTTTATCTGGAGTAACATCTTCAAAGTTTCGCTAACAGTCGGACAAACCGCAGGTCTTCACGGATCCTTCGAACCTTCAGCGTCACATCCGGACGCATCACGTGGGAGCGAGGAGTCACGCGTGCACCGAGTGCGGAAAGACGTTCGCGACCAGTTCAGGGCTGAAGCAGCACACGCACATCCACAGCAGCGTGAAACCGTTCCAGTGCGAGGTCTGTTTCAAGGCGTACACCCAGTTCTCGAATCTATGCCGGCACAAACGTATGCACGCGGATTGTCGCACGCAGATCAAGTGCGTTAAATGCGGGACACCGTTCAGTACGGTCACCTCGTTGTCGAAGCACAAGAGATTCTGTGATTCGACACCACCTACCGGTTTACCTGGCGCCATGCCTCAATTACCCACCTCGGCACCTAGCCCTTTCCTCGTTTACTCCAGACCACCTGTGAGTCTTCCAGGTAGTTTGCCCTTTTATCCACCTAGTCTGATGGGACCCTATCCCGGAATCTTTCCGAACGCTCCCAATTTCCTCAACACGCCGCTCCTCTTCCCTCCGAAAGTCGAGGAGGCTGAGAAGAGAAGCGACAGCCCGAAGAAGGAACGCTTCACGCCACCCAGGGTGGTACAGGATAGCAAAGTCTCTCCATCCACAGCCGAGGAAGCTACGTCTTCGTTCAGACCGTCTCCAGCCAGACCACCTGTGCTACCTACTCCAGAAAGCGACGACGATCCTTCGAAGAAACGGGAGACCAGTAGAAACAGGAAGAGGAAGAGGGATTCCGAGCATACTCCGTCAGCCACGAACGAAGAGACCACGGATCAGCCTCTGGACCTGAGAGTCCCGACGAAGAAACAGAAGACGAATTCTAACAATCCAGAGAGGAAGAGTCACAGTCCGTCACCGACTCCAATGGCCATGGAAGAAGCTCCACCTCCTCCCGAACCTCCTAAGCAAGAAGAGGAAGCTTCCGCGCACGTGGAAGTCGATTCCAAGGACATACCGAGAAGTCCACAGTTGAGAACGAGTTTACCAACCGAACAACCACCTACCAACACTCCACCACACATGGCCTACCCCAGACCAATCCACCCGATGTTTCTCGAGGCCATGTACCGCGGACCAACCGGTTCCTTTCCAGGATTTCCGGGTGGACCACCACCTCCTGGCGGCGCGAACCCGGAGTCCAGGCTGCTACCACCGCTGCCGCCGTTCGGACCGCCGCGTGGACTGCCTTTTTTAGGAACGCTTATGAACGGGCTCAGTGGCGCTAGGCCAGGAGGCGGAGGATTCGATTTGCTGGCCAGGCCGCCGTTGGGACCGTTCCCCGGCGTGAAGCCGTTTCAAGAATCGGTGATCGCGCCTCACCATCACCATCATCATCATCACGCTCACGGCAAGATCAAGGATCGGTACTCCTGCAAGTTCTGCGGCAAAGTGTTCCCCAGGTCCGCCAATCTCACCAGACATCTTCGTACGCACACCGGTGAACAGCCGTACAAGTGCAAGTACTGCGAGAGAAGCTTCAGCATCTCGAGCAATCTTCAGAGACACGTGAGGAACATTCACGACAAACAGAGACCGTTCAAGTGTCCGCTCTGCGAGAGATGCTTCGGTCAACAGACGAACCTCGACAGACATCTGAAGAAGCACGAGGCTGACGACGGGAGTGGCGTGGTTTCCGTCGCAGATTCGCCCGGGAGCAGCAACGAGAACGAACGAGAGGACGCGTACTTCGAGGAGATCCGGTCGTTCATGGGAAAAGTGACTTACAGCGGCGACGCTGGCTACGGACTGCCGCCTCATCCTGCCTATCTGCCGAGTCGAATTCACGAGATACACGAGTCCAAGATGGAGATCGAATACGACGAGGACGAGGACAGCGAGGAGGGAGTGTCTCCCCTGGACGAAGCCGACGGTTTGTCGCCGGTCGAGGCGAAGGAGTCGACGCCACCGCCGCAGTACGATCTGAAGCTGAGGGAGAAGCAGGAGCTGCTCAACAACAACACCGCTGAACCGGCCATCGAAATTTCCACATAGCCCATAGGTCGCGTAGTTTGAAGATCCATCGTCCTTGCGCGGGATCTTGCTTTAGTGGCACACAATAGGACTGTTCACGAGGATGTTCGTCTCGATGTAACATTTTTCTAACCGTAGATAGATTCCGTCGATCGTGTTTTCAAGTTACTCACGTAGTGCGAGTCAGAGTGTCCACACGAGAGTTTCGACGCTCCGATTTTCCTTGAACTTTCCTCGGGTGGAGAATTTTAAACGGACACTGATGTGAAGTGCGTTTTTTTATGGTAATTGAAAGGAAGATGTCTTTGGACCTGATACGGCGCTCTTATTTCCCACGTCTCTATTTTTTTGCACCGTAAGAGTGAGAACCGTAAGAGAGAGATCGAAAGAAAGCTACTCGTCCTTTCTCGTACACGAGCAGAGAAACAGACATAAGGTACACACATACACACACACACAGGTACACTCACGTTCGTTCAAACGAGCAAGCTGTTCAATAGCGTAGTTCCTACAGGCTCGTTTTCATCGTACACGCGCACGTAATTAATAATCGTTCGAACCTATCCCTTTCCCCCCGTTTTTCTCAACCTCTCATCGACTTCAGAGTCGCGCGAGCCCACGGTAGTATTATTTATTCGCGTCGCGAGTTACTTTGCGTCGACAACGAAGCCGTCTCGCCCGCGAGATTCGGCCATCTTTCGAGTTTCTAAAACTCGATAATCCCCCCCTTCTTTTTAGCGGTGTATTCGCGCTGGACGATCTAATCGTGAAACGATTCGAGGACACTCGAGAAGATATATCGAACTCCTCTCTGCTAGGGGCGAAAAGATCGATCACCGGAAGTTTCGTTCTTTCTTCTTCTTTTAGAAAGTAGATCGATTTGGGAAGAGGATCGATGGAACCTCGTGGAGCTCGTGCTCGAGTAGGTAGGAAAAGTATGGATATAACGTTCTGGTGTTGGTCGACGCGAGGCCAAAGCGACGGGGATTTTTGAGAGAAATGTATAATTGAAGAGAGAAAGAGAGAGAAATGTTTTATGAGAATCTGTGTACAAATTTCCATTAGGTGATATATAACGTTTGTAAAAAAAAGAGTGGAAAAGAATACAGAAGTTCTCCTTGATTTTTAATATACATGCGTATATATGTATATATACACATATGAATGCGATCTTATCCATTTATCGTGGCACGGGTCACGAGATGTTCTTCATAAAGGCGCGTAATTGTTACGTTTCGTTTCACTGAATAGTTAATAAAGAACTGGCGCGTGTTCCCATTCCGCTGTTCAAACGGAAAGATGCTCGTGGTAAATTGCGTTCGACGAAAGGAACGAGGTCCTGTGTGTACAAAAAGAAAGAAAAAGAAAAAAAAAATTTTCCCCCCTTTTTTTCTTTCTCGTTTGATCGTTCCATTTGAAAGGAAAGACGAATTTTGCGTGTAGCGTATTAGAAATCTTCTCATCAGCCCTTCTTCCCACGTAACGTCTCACGGATACGTGTTTTACACATCTTCTCCTCCTCTCTTCCTTCTCTCTGACCTAAATAGGCGATAAATAAACTTACGGATTGATTATGCATACTTACGTCGATCGAACTAATTAAGAACGATTATATTATGACTCTATCTATACATACTGTATAAAAGCATCCTGTAACTTCATTATGATTACTATTAAAATATTACACTTCAAATTCGACGATTGTCACCCGTTAATTCTTTCTTGTGTTAATTTTACTCTCCGTTTCTGCGATAGAATTTTAGCGATAGAAATAGCGATAGAATTGTTTCACACGCGATATTTTCAAGCAACGTAGGAGAAAAAAATAGGAAAATTAGTATTCAGCGATATTGCTGCCGCAACGTGGCGCTCTCTGGCACGTCCTTCGGTAACTTGCAATCCTTCTACCTGTCGTCAGCTAGAATCCTCTTCGGAAAAATAGTAATTCAATTCGCAGATTATATATGTATTGTTCGTATTTCTTAGAATTCAAAAATATTCCATTTTTACCCGCGTAAGTATCGCAAATGAAAATTGATCCTTTCTCTGCAGAGCACGGCTTTATCGACCACGACTAAACCACTCGAGTTCCTCGAGTTCCCTCCCAAAGCCCGCTTCTCCTCCACTCGCTAGATCTCGCTGCTCAGTGGTTTCCTCTCCCGCGTGCCTTTCCATTATTCGAATTCACACTCGCGATTAATCTTTTAAATCAGTCCATCAGCGTGTCGCGATCCTCCCCGTCCAGGATCTCCATTGTCTCCGTTGAAAGAACCGTTTCGAGGACGAAGACGAGCGACAAACAATTAAGCCGGTCTCGAACGAAATTTCCGCGCGCGAGTTGCACAATCACGAGCTAATTGGCTGGCGGCGTGCCGGGAATGAATTAATGAGCGTTGAACTTTGCTTTTACACGCGTTATGATCGTCTGAATTGATCCTCGACGCCCACTCGGTCCGCGCGCGCCATTATAGTACACCGCTCGATTTCATTCAGCACCGCGAACTACGATCGAACGATTTTCACGCGCGCGCTCGCCTTGATTCGCGAGACCTTCGCGGAACGAAGAAGATCTGTACCGTTATTAAAGTGTCATAGAAATAAAGAAGGCCTAAAGCTGGGGGGATTACGGAGAGAAGGTTCTCTCGATCGTTGAACGATCGAGCAATAATGACGATTAATGATTATTACAAGCCTCTTTGTACCGTCAACTTGGGAATAAAAATAAACGAGTGATAGGTATAAACGTCAAATTAACCAATTTAATGGAATATCCGACACATCGATCATAATTATAAAACGGTTTAACGACTGTTTAATGTTGACGGAAGTTAATGAGAGAGACGGCAGCGAACGGAAGGAGCACACGGAACCCACTGGACTATTTCACGCTTCGGTAAGACGGAAGACAAGCGATTCGCCTTGTTACGCTTGGAAAAGGAAAACAAAATGGAAACTGCTGCAGATCGGTAGTTTCTACCACTCTAATACCAGTCTAATCGATTCAGACCGACACACCAGTCCTTGCTGCAATTATATAATCCAATTACACTTGATAGGATTCTTCGACTTGGTTTCACTCGTAAATATCGTCGTAAATCGCCGACAGAAAAAGTTCTCCGCTGTGTGAACGTTCTTTCGGAGAACTTAAACTTTATCCCTGAAGATTTTCTTTAATTTTCAAATATTCTGGAAGATGGAGAAGTGTCTCCGAATGACGCGAAACATTTCCAGAA